GGCACAATGGTTGGACAATTCCTTCATCAAGGCCTTGTTGAGAAGAAGGCCAGGAATGCTTTTGTATCTGAGATGCATACGAAGGTCAGGTCGATCACAAATGGGCACAATCTGGTCCTGCATGGCATTAAAATGCAAACAGACGCGTTTGTTGATATGATCTCGGAGTCGAAAGAAATCAGTGAATCGTTTATGGCAATGTCTGCAAGTTGGGTGCCCATTAGTGGTGTCCCGGAGAGGATTATAAAGATCTTCTTGAGTGCAAGGGATTTGATGATGTTCCCTTAGGTGACGCTTGTACGGACCTGCCTGTATGAATGCTCGATGGCATTCATGGCATCGGAATACAGGGACCTGGGTGCACGGATCAGTGTGTGATGACGGAAATGGTATGTAGGCTTCAGGATAATCTGGGACATGGACTCCTGCATCACTAGGCATGGTCGACATGGCTGATGCACGAAGGCAGGACCGGCGGTGACTCAAGGAATTAATCAAGCGATCAATGTGTCGTTGAAGCATGTGCCATGGTGGAGACAAGCCAAGACTTTGGAAAAATTCTTGAGTTGGTATACGTGTGAGGTGAACTGGTGCATGTGCCATCGAATGAAGGTGCTTATTGATCATGCCAATGATGGTGCTACTGCCATGTTGTGTAAGGCCCATTTCAAACACCCCATAAAGGACGGTGGGGAGAACACACTGACGGTACAGTTTGATCCTAGTCTGGATTGGATGGTGCTTGTCTAGGAGCCACCTCCGCAGAATTCGAAAGCATGTTTGGGCTGCAGTGAGTCTGCGTTTAGTTGTATCGACTTCCCATGCCCTATACGAGATGATAACTCCAAGATAGGTCGTTTTGGCAACCAGCGGCACAGTGATTTCCATGTCAGGCAATCGAAGCTTTGGGCCATTGGCCGTGCGACTAATCCATCTTTTCTGGAACGAAGGAAGGGCCTTCCCAACAAGTCGAATCATTGCGAAGCTCTTATGAGGATTGATCTTCAATCCATAGGCGTTAAACACCCTCATCAGGAAGGACAGGTCGTGCATAGCGCGAAGTCCATCTGCTGGTGATCGGACAATCCAGCGCATGTGAAAATCGTCTGCATACACTATCAGGTGGTTTAAGATCCAGTCGTGGTCGTACTGAGCTAGTAAGTCGTGGAGTATGATATACATCGTAAGGTTCCAAAAGAGCGGAGCATCCTTGGATCCTTGTTGAATGCCACCTGTGGCCTGGATTTTTCCTACCACTTCCTTAAAGGGAATGTAGTAGGTGTGGGGGGTCATTCACGAGTGTAGTAACGATTGGAGGTCATTGGAGACCTCAAAGGTATGGAGAGCCCTGGACACCAACTGTCTGCTGACTGTGTCAAATGCTTTTTCCATATCCAACGAAATTTGGAGGCCTCCCCATAGACCTGCTTTGGCATCGTCTTTCCGATGAGTAGTGCAAAGCTCTCTCACCTATCTGCAGTGATAGGACACCGTCAGAAGACAATCACGTGTTCCTCGGTGCGGCATGTACGCGTACATGAGCATCTGACAGAGTGATCCACGGGCCTGTTCAAGCAACAATCGACAATGAATGCTGGACATGACCTTATGCATCGGGTGTTGAAGACAGATTGGTCTGAGTGCGGCAGGTTGATTTGGGGTTTTATTGGGTTTAGCAAGAAGGTGGAGCCATCCTGCTGACCAATGTGACGGTGGGAGACTCTGGCTTTGGCACCATGCATATCGGATACATGAAAACATCACGGGTGTCAAAATGCTTGCGAAATGTCGCCAAATCAAAGCAGGAAAACCGTCAGGGGCCAGTGCTTTCGTCACCGGAAGGTGTTGAAGTTCGTGTAGAACATCAGCCTCAGTGAATGGCAAACTGTTCAGAGCCGGAGGGATCATGATAGGTGCATGAGGGTCCGTGAACAAGTCCTGAAAATATTGAGTCAGGCGCTCGAGTTCTTGGGCTTGGGACAAAGGAGCCCCATGCATATCAAACATCTGAATCCGCCTGAAAGAGTGCTTAGGACACAGGGTACGAATCCGTTTATACCAGTCATGCAATTTGTTCTGAAGTATCAGAGGGACACTTTCAGCAAGAAAGGTATCTAAGCGGTGCTTTCGGTTTTGTCTGCTCTGACGTCGGATGACTTTATGGAGCTTATCGAATCGAATGACACAAGACCAGCCCTGAATCACAGCCTGCATGGGGGTTGAACGTAGACGGAGTAATTGCCGGCGGGCATACCACATTTGAGCGGCCAAGGATTTGACCTGAGAGCACATGGGTCGAATTCGGCTCACTCGGGGGAAGTGGTTCTGACACAGCTGTCTGATTTTCTGTTCAACCTGGATACAGGTGGTGAGGGGGTCAACCGGATGAGATTCAGTGGTGAAAGTGCAAACTGTGTTCATGACTTCAGTTTCGAAGGTGAGCCAGTTCTCAGTCTGTGACTGATATTCAAGCCTCAGTCGATGGCGGTCGATCGAATTAATCGGTGGGTGTTGACGGGGAGGTGCAAACCATTTCGGTAAGGACATGACAAGTGGATGATGGACTGGTGCATTGCTGCCAATCGTTCGTTCGAACTGGGTCAGTACCTGTGCACGATGTTTAATCCATTGGACTTGATGGCGACGAACGAACATAAAGTCGATTCGACTAGAGTGGTCCCCGTGTTGGAAGGTTGGTTTCCACTGATGTTGACAGTAAACGGCAACCAGGTCCAAATCACGAATCAGGTTTTGAAAGTCCTGCTTATCACATTGAGAAGCCATGCCATACTTAGGGTCACGTGAATGCACATAAGGTGCGTCAGCAGTCAGAGGTGTGTTGCAATCACCTGCAAACAACAACATGTGACTCTTAGGAACATGAAGACTACATTGACGGATGGCTTCAAAGACCTAAAGTCTATCATGTAGAAGGATTTGACGTTCCTTCGATGAACTCCATGAGTGCTGATAAACACAAATGATGTCGTGGATTCGGGATAGATGCAATCGAACCGAACATGGATGAGCCGGCCTGGGCACAATTCACTCCAAGTTGATCTAGACGCAGCAGTCGTCTGCGGATCATACAGAGAACTGTGGCTCGATGGCCATGGGAATGCAGCATGTACCAGTCACCAGAAACCCATTAATTGCTAAATCGCCAGCCAGTTTCTTGCAGGACAGCAACGTCATACGAAGTCTGAGTGAGCCAGGTCACCCATTCATCTAGTAGGAGCCCTTCCAACAAAATATATTCAAGGAGTCTGTCGTCCGGGTCATCGAGTTGGAGGATCCCACCTTCGTAGCTGGAATATTAGATTCATAATTCAGCTGTTGTCGAATCCGGAAGGGGATGTTGGAATACCAGAAATCCTTTCCACGATATTGTGTGCATCCGTACTTATATGCTCGTTTGCATGCTCGATAAAAGCTCCTCATGATTCTCTTGCATCTAGATGGATCCACAATTAGGCCGTAGCCTGACATCGCCCAAACCTCGTGTATTTTCGTGTCAGGCCGCTTGTGAATCGGTATGTCGATGACACTCTCACCACCAAGCGAGGTCTTGGTGGTAACCCTCGCGCCAGGCATGGATTGACCACCTTAAATAATAGATGGAAAGGATATTATACCCCCAGGATTTGGGACCTAGTGTCTCAGCGGTGCAAAAATCAAAATCAAAGTCAAAAGCAGCCAGTAAATCTTCATTGAAGGATTCCAAAACAATCGTGCTCCTAAAAAGGAATGAAAGACATGTGCACGGAGAAGTACGAAAATGGCTCCCAACTTGAAGTTAAGATGGCGCTTAAAAAACGTAAAAAACGGAAAAAAAAACCGGACATTAATAACGATAAATCTAAAATACAAATAAATAAAAACGCTATATAACCAACGAAAAAAAAAACGAAAATCAACAATAATAAATCTAAAAAATACATAAAATATTACATCGTCAATAATTACAAATCTAAACAACAAATAAATAATAAACGAATACCAACAACAACTCAAAATACCGACACATCTAAAAAACCATTATAAATCCTCCCTATAGATTATTTTTAAAATAAAGAATATTACGTAACAAAAAAATATACATTTACCCGCCTATCAATATATATATATATATTTAAATATAAATAGACCATATATTAATTCAATCCAAAATATAATCGATTTCCAAACAATCCTAACATCTTCTTTATTCTTTTCTTTCTTATCAAACTTATACCTTTCTCATTCAGAAGCCTTAATTTAATACCTACATATATAAATCTCTAAATTCTATATCCAAATCAACTAAATTCGGCCAAAATTACCAACAAAAAACCGACAGCATAAATCAATAAAATACAGAATTTATCTCTCTATCTATCGATTTCTTTATCTATCTATTTCTATATTTATATATATATATATCGGACTATATAGGTTTAGATATATGTCTATCTATCCGTTTATTTGCACCGGCAAGCCGGAAAAATGTTCGATACATATAAGTGCTACGAGAAGCATCCACTCAACCAAAAACATGGTGCAAGTACAGTTTTTGCTAGGAAGCAAGAACCTTATATAAATATGTAGTCAATTTCGCTTGCATCCCCGCCAAAAGCCAATCCAATTTCATGGCGTTAGTTGTATTCTACATTCGGCTCTCTATGGATTTCGTGAGTTGCGGATTGTCCTGAATCTCGTATCCTATATGCGGTCTGGGCTGTATTTCTATCCCCCATTCGGGTGCTCAATGCCCATTGTCCAAATAACCTCCAAAGCCATTGATGATGCTAATGATGCACTGCTCGACGTCCATTGCATCACTCGCATCACCAGACCCCATGTTCACTGCATTTCTGACCCTCGCTTTGGAGCGCTCTCCCCCACCAAGCTCCGGGTTCACCCTCTCAAAATGTGCCTCTCCCTTAACTCACTTCGTTCGCTCTAAAAGCTCAAGCCTAGCCTATCGGCTGGCTTTCGTAATATTCTATATATTAAATATATTTATCTTCCTTGATATAAACCTTCCTTCATACACCAAATCGATAAGTCCGGCAGGCTCCTCGGGGCCGCAGGGAAATGTCGGGACGCGAAAAAAGAAAGCGCAAATTCGCTTCAGGGAACCCGCATCCACATGTCAAACAAGAAAATCACTCATTTGAACCCCAGAAAAGCCCCTTCTTTCATGTGATCGCTCATGTCAAACACTTCCCAATGTCACCCCATGTCCATATCTTCTGCAAAGCTTCTTGTCTTCGACAGCCATTGCCTCTTGATGTAACTTCATGGTGTCACTCACGCACTCCTCAGCGCTCTGCGCGCGCGCCGTGGACACCGAGACATCGCTTGCTTTTAACGTCCGTTTGAGTCGGCTTGGGCGGATGATGAGCTCCCAGAAAAGGGCCAACAGGTTTCCACTCCCCTCTTAAAGCCGATTTTCACAGGACTGCGCGGCTACTTCTATAAACTCTCCAGTCAGAGCTTGCAGATCTATTGGTGGTTCATTTTCTTCTACCCTCTCCACTTCCACCATCCCTCACTACCTCTTCAACTCTCCAGCTCATCCAAACACAGGCAATCATTTACCACTAGAGTCTTGTGTCTGAAGCTGCAAATCCCATGGACCCACTCGGACTTCTCGGCCGAAAGCCGCCCTCCCCCTTCGCTCCTCCACGGTGACCTCCTGACGATTATAGTACTTGGGGCTGGTGGTGCCAACAAATCCAATGGCTCCTCCAAAGAAGAACTTGAAGCAATCACTGCAAGTACCGCTGAGGTTCTCCTTAGGATTGCTGGCAAGCGGCAGCGCAAGCTGCTGGCAAACCGAAAAAGGAGGAACAAACCGAGTGAACGACACGTGTGGAGGTACATGTTCGGTGCTTTGGGCGAGAATAAACAACAAGTTGGAACCACGGCCTTCATGGCTGAGTATCCCAGTAACCAGAAGGTAGTAGGGGCTCCTGGCATCGCTACTAGGAGCAAGGACGCTACTAGGGGCTCCTGGCCGTACTACTAGGAGCAAGTAGCTACTAGTAACAAGAAGCAAGCCATTTCAGCGCCCCCTCAAAAGAGGTTACAGTACAGAATGTTCCTGACGTGGAATCTATTTGCTGCCTGGCTAAATTTTAACCAAAACACACAACGAGGCAAAGAAACAGCCTTCACTCCATCATGAACCGGAGACATGTCTAAGTTGGGAACCTCAAGTCAGAGCCATCCCACTCAGCCAAGATTGATCGAGACCAGGAAATCCAAAGTGCTGAAGAACACTGCGAACCGAAGCAGTGTAACAACAACAACAACAACACCAGCAGCAGCAGCAGCAGCAACAGCAACAGCAACAGAAACAGCAACAGCAACAGCAACAGCAACAAACGAACGAACCATCTGCGATGCAGTGCAGGTGTCTGGCTCGCGACAGACCGTCTTGACGTCCTCGTACATGAGGCCCTGGATCCAAAACGCTGCGAGCGTCGCACTCCTAAGACTCCCAAAGAAACATCTGAAACAACATATGACCAGGACCGTCCTGTCTGGTGTGCCCATGCCAATGGACTTTCTGTCTTCACTACTTCAATTGCCGTCACCGTTGGGGTCACCCATTGACACCCCGATCGGAGAGGGTCCCGTACCAAAGGGCGTGGCGCGAAAAAGGCGCCCGTGGCGGAGCCCGGTGGCGAGCGCGAAAAGGCGCTGCCCGCTGCCCCCAGACATCCCGCTGCGAGCGACCGGAGCAAAGCGGCGACCACGGAAGATCCATTCCGAATCGAACGTCGCCGAAGGCCGGAATCTCTTCATCCGGTCTGAAGAGTCAAGTCCCATCCTGAGAACAAGGCGACAAGTCCTGATGATATAATACGTCCTGTGTCCGTTGTGGCAAGAATCAAGGGTCAGCATGAACAAACATCCTACAAGTAGTTTTGGTGTTCATTTCATCCCACTCATATGCAGCTCCCATCCCATCCTGGAGGGTCCTTTTTCGGGGCCCCCCTTTGCAAAACACTCACACGGGTCCTGGGGCGTCACCAACGGTGCACCTCACACCTTCGAGGCTGTTGACCCCATTCTGATGATGTTGGAGGAAGATAGAATGTGGGTTGGAAAGAACAGTAAAGAGCCCCCAGGAAACTGGTCCTGTAGTTGGATTGTTCCATAGTCTACCTGCCTACTACTACAGGATCATTATATAGTATCATAAAATATACGTTTAAATTTGTTTTTGCTTGATTGATGGAATTCCTTACCGCCCATTCTTGCACACGTTCATTCTGTGACAAAGGCCTCTTCTTTTCGACCCTTCGCATCCAATAGCTCCTGTTGAGCCAAAGTGATTGACTCGGGACGTGTTGGCTGGAGCACAGGCGAAGATTCCGAGATGGACTGGTTCCAGCCACAGAAATGGTGAATTGGCATGGATACATAAATTCAGAAAAAAGACCAAAGACCTTGTCCCTTTGTGGAACAAGTGAATCAGTCTTTGCCAAGTCTCCCCAAGGTCGGCATTGGAAGAGGATAGAAGAATTTCTGAAGCTTCATAAGTTCCATTCTTCAACAGAGACTTACTATATATATCTCTTGAGTGGCATCCGCTGTACTAGTAAAAGATCCGTTGCTTCTTGTTGAGTCGAGCCGCCCAACTCGGCCTCCGAAGCTGCAGATACTCCTGGACGGACTGAGGCAAATCCTCCGAGAGCACTTCAGGATGCTCGTGTGCGAAGTTACGACAGGCCAACTTGAGCTTTGGAAGATCCTTCAGCACGGCACTTTCAGAGACGTCCGCAAAGTTCTCGACGTTCAAGGCACCTGCCACTGGTGTTTCGAGCATCTCAACAATGTGAGTGATCTGCCAGCGGTGTGCCAGATCCAAGGCTGGGAGAGCAAAGCTGTTTGAGAAGACTTTGCTGCTGGCACCAGTGTAAAGGAGTTCAAACATGAAAGAGAGAGCCTTGGTTGGCACATCCACCGCGATCCGTTTACTCCTTGCTTCCTTCATATTCGATGACAACATGGATGCAACCACTGGAGACACGCACGCAAGGAAGGCGGCATGTGCAGTGACCTCTCCATCAATAGCTTCTACCACCAAGTCATGCCATTGTTTGTCAGCGCTGAATTTCTCCCAAACCTCCAGGACTGCTGGACTCATTGAGACTGTGGCTGCTTCCGGCTTGGTCTGCGCCAAAGTGCTCATGAGTCCAGACAATTTCCGCAAGTAGGGCGACCAGTTCTCTGCGTGCTTGGAGCCTCTCATGTCTCTTTGAACTTGAGCCAGCATTGAATATGCAGAGTGCCCAGCCACCGTGTAACGCACATCACTCTGATCGTGCTTTTCCAGGAAGATCGACATCCAGTCTTGTGCCTGAGGAAATTCCCGACGACAACGTAGATTGGGGTCCGCTCCCCTCTTCACCAGCCATGTGGCAATCTTCACCGTCTCGATCTCCACCTGACCGGAGGTCTTTTCAAAAGGGTAGGTTTTCTTATGACCGATGCTTGTGCGTTGCGCTTGAGGAATTTGTGGTGCGTTCCAGTGGAAGCGGAAAGCGAGCGGTTTGTAGAAACACCAGGAGGCCATGTGAATGATTTCATGGCATCGAGGGCCTGCGTGCCAAAACATGCTAACCTGGACCACACGGCAAAAACAACTCCGGCAGGCAGGGCGAACCAACATGAGACAAGTGCATATAATCGACAAGGGAGTAAAGAATGAAAGAGTTCTGTTCATATGATGCACTTGGATCGTCCCTTAGGCAACCAGTATCCAGTAGAGCGTAGAGCAGAAAACAAACAACAAGAGTAGGAAAGGTACAGAAAGCCAGAAAAACATGAAAACAATAACTATATAGTAAAAAAACAGCGGCAACAAAGGCCATAGAAAGCAATAGCCATAGCAATAAAAACAGGGAAACGATACGCCAGAAGAGGACAAGAAGCAGGAAAAGTAAGAAAAGCAGGAAAAAGTAAAACAGCGACACACACACAAAAAACACAATAAAAATGCGAGACAAAGCAAAACAAACAAACAAAAAGAAGAAAAGCATAAGAAATCGGCAACAAGAAACAGATCCAACAAACAGCCCCTCTGTTCAAAACTAAAAAGTTACTTTAAATTGTAAATGATGGGAGGTCGCAATGATGGGCGGTCGCACTGGCATACGGTTTTTGTTTACCCCCACTAAATAGTGGGGATTGTTCGTCCATTCCGTCTCTACAGTAAATACATCAGAGAGTTGTTCATTGTTCATCACTACATCCACCCATCTCTGGCGCCTCATCATGGTCCGTCCCCAGAAAGCTGGCGACAGCTGCCTGGAGAGCTGTACAGCCAAGAAGAGGATTATTGGAAGGGTTGAAACAATTGAAGTCAAAGTCCAAGCATTCGAAGGTGCTTTTTAGCCAGGGCAGATCGCTATGTGCAATGGCATCAAACAAAGTGTGAATGCGCTGGTCCTCCATCCCCAGCCGGACGACTTCTTGAGCCAATGGCGTGTGAAAACAGGCGCGTGAATCCTTCACAGCAAGGCGTGACTCAAGTGTCTCCAGATTTCGGGAACTCCGAATCCAGTAATCTTCATCTTTGTTTGGCCCAACGGCAGGATCCAAACCTTGTTTTGGAGCCAAACGATCTTGAATCTGGCCCCGAAAAGGACGGTGGAATCCAAACCCATCAATATGAGCTGTCCAAAACCAAAAGATGCAAGACACTCCCAAGTCACTGCGGATCATCACAACACTCGACCTGGGAGAAGCGTTTTCGAGCTGGTCCCGGACCTGAATGGTGAAGCCCAGCTTGGCATACAAATGCCCAAAGTCCTCCTTCAGCTGACGCTTGTGGAAGATGTAAATATCCTGAGCAGTCCCGGACCCTTGTGGTCAGCGGGCGGGGCGCGCCGCTTTAAAGGTTTTGGTGTTTTAGAGACCTGTTTTGTTGATATGGCTGAGTTAAAAAAGGAACCTTCGTCAACGGAATCAATTGGGTTGCACAGCAACAGTGCTAGTAAACGAACCCCTCCACCCTGCCACCCTGCTCAAATCCACCAACCTTGGCCTCTTGTGGCACACTTTTCTCCGACAAGCCAGATGCTTGCCGATGGTGCAGGAATACCTATCGGAGTTTGCAAGCGCTACGTTGCAGACAGTGCAGCTCGACTCAAAGTGACTTTTCAGGTTGAGTTGGTGACATCTGACATCCTGTAAAACAAAATCCAAGGGTTCAATGGCTTCTGATGGGCATGGCTTACTGCCACAAGCTGCAGCCCGGCTGCCCTCATGCTGAAGCCCTTGGACTTTGGACGTTTCTCAGCTGCTGGAAGTGACCAATCATGAAGACAATACCCAGGCCGAGTCACTCTCATGCAGGCCTCGTGGGCCACGTGGGGCTATGACTGGCACACAACGACCAGCCGCTCTGATGTTCAACGACCGGCCCCCCTGGCATGCCACACCCTTTAGGCCGGTGCACTTGCCAGAATTCTTGAAGCCAATTACCTGCAGAACAATCTTTCTGGACTCGCGCGGGTAGAAAAGAGCTTCAAGTTCACCGGTGAGGGTGAGGTGGAGCCGCCGAATGAGGTTAAGCGAACCAAGCTGGACGAAGCAAAATGCACAGATCCCGGACCCAACGGTCGCTCTGGACCTTTGAAAGGTCATCGTTTGATTCAAGTTCCCCTCTGGTGTCCTGCTAGCTACTAGCAAAGCCTGTCATTGAAGCAGGTGCTTGCTTTGGGCCCTTTGGTGGCTAGCACTCACAATCCGAGCATCCCCCATTTCTACAAGCAGTCTTAAGAGATCTTAAGAGCAACTGGGCGGCACAGAAACCTGTGAAGGAATGTACACTACTCTACTTGATCATGTCTTGTGTCTTCTGCTCCATGCACATCCAGCACTGGCCATCGGCAGTTTCACCTCATGCGAAACTGAAGCCACATGGTGGGCGATGTGTCAAGCATTGAGCTGTCTGACACAGCTGTTGCTAAGCACGTAGCTCTTTCACAGTGTCGGTTATGGCACATCAGCCTCACCACGTTACTTAACGAACTCTTCGTAATGGATGTTATATATCCCACCGATCGGTGTTTCAAACATCTATTGCATAGAGGCTGCAAGAATTTAGGCGGAAAACCTGGCGACCTCGACCGCTTCACCAAGGGAAACCCCGGCCGCTTCACCTCAGCGACCGCGAACATATCACCTCGCTACGACCGCCACAGGTGACTTCAACCGACGGCCCCGCGAGTGCACGCTGCTCCACAGCGATGGTTCACATCGTTGGACAGCGAGCGAAGGCCGAAGGCCAAAGGCGATCAAATGCGCGTTTGTCCTCGGGTTGGTTGAACCTGTTAGAGAAAAGGGAAATCCAACGACATCTAAAAATAACATAATCCTCTGAATCCTGTGCGCTTTCTTGCTGTGCGCTTTTGGGGGCCTGTACTGAAAGGTGAAACAGTGCTTAAATCATTGGAAAGAATGTCTGAAAGCACATCGCTGCGTCCTCTAGGAAGCTCCAGTCGCTACATCTTTTCAGCTGTAGGTACAAATGCTGCACCGGTGCGGCAATGTCTCAGGTGCGGCAATCACTCCAAAAACACAGCACAGGTTCCGGAGAGCGTCTGAGCAACGAAGCCTTTAGATGAAGGCCCGCGCAAGGTCATCTTTTCTTGGAAAAGTATCTTTTTGAAGTTCTCTGGAAGTGAAAATGCTGCCTCTTGGGGGTCATGAAGAAAGCCTTGACTCTGCCATAAGCAGTTTCAACAGCAAAGTCCATCAAAAGCAAGAAGCCGCGGCCGAACTCCAGGAAGCCTGCAGCTGTGAAGAGTGGCTTTGGTCAACGGTCCTCCATCTCCTTGCCAGGCATCCTGCCAGGTAGTATCACTGGAATTGAAGCCTTGCAAGAGCTGCATACTCTAGCGAATCTGAGCTTCAACGCTTCATCTTGAGACAGCGCCGAGCATGCTTCTGGACCTGTGCACAAAAGCACGCGTGCTTTTGGAGCAGCTACTTTTTTTGCCTGGGGGGCGGCAGCTGCACAGTGCGCGGCAGCTTGAGCTTGGCAGCTTATGGTGAGCCCGCCGTGGTTTTAAGGTGTTGACGTAATTTGGGGTGTTCTGATGCCACGGTTTAGGTATGGCTTTCGATGGCGACAAATACTAAGGATCTTCCAATGCCGCAGGAAAGGCAACAAACGAAACACTAAGGCGGCTGGTGATGAAACTTGTCATAATGCATTGTCCAAAAGACACTCCGATTCAATTGAGAGATCCAGATTGGTCACACAAGGCGATGGCGAGTCAGATCTGCCGAATGTCTTGTGACTGCACGGTGACCTTGAGTGTGTGCTTGCCAGATGTCATAAGCGGCCACCATTAAACGTCTGGACAAGACGACCCGCAACTACTGCAGGTTTCGAGAGTGAGCCAGCTGGTCACCACATACCCAGAAAACAACACATCTATGACAGCTACATCCGAGTCCATCTGCCAGCAAGACACCGTGACCTTCGGCAAAACAAATGCATGCAATATCTAACAAGCAGCTAGACTCAGCTAGACTTAGCCAGAACTCAAGGTGAGGCCACCCACACGCATGAGGTCTGGGCCAGCTTGGTGTGTTCCTGTATCCGTGAAATCACTGCAACGATATCAATTTCCAAGGTTGGCAGGTTCCCAACGTTCGCTTACGCGAAACATGGACGGCGCCCCGTCGCCTCAGGACGGTTTTTGGACGTTTGGGACGCTTCACAAGCACGCACGCACGGCGCGTACTCTCATACTCAACACACTCGGGTCGCTACGAGCCACCCCAGCTTTCGAGTGCCGGAACTCGGCGAACTCGGAGCTTTCGACCGCCGGAGCTCGCCACGAGTGAGGGCGACGAGAGATGACCACGAGACACCGAAAGCGAATCGGTGTGTAGCGACCTCATAGGGAGACCTCCCAGTACGACGCCACTGTGTCTGCCCTTTAAAGAAGCCTGGTGCACCGAAAAAAGCACCCAGAGCTGAGTGCTCGGAATCGCTCAGAATCCGAGCGCTCCGTCCCAGTCGCCCTTCGACGTCAGCGGCTCCCAGGCGGTCTGCAGCTGCTCGGTCAGCGGCTTCGGCATCGGGCACCAATGGGTTCTGGCGTTCTGCGCCCCGTCACGCCGATCGAAGCGGTCAGGGCGATCGAAGTGGCCTCAGACAGGAAAGAAAAAGGGCAACTGCCTGCCGTGAGTCATATGATATATGGTCACTCATGGTCTGTACCCAGACCTGCGTTTTCCGGCGGACTACAGTGCTGGGTCAGCTCAAGCGACAACATGGGGACCGTGCGTCCCTAAAGGAGAAAGAAGGGTAAAAGGTGCTACAAGCAGTCATCTTCTCAAGCTATAAACACTCAGCGGAGATCAACAAACTCGCTATGCTGTTTGAGGTGCCTTAAAGCTAAAAGAAAGGCTAAGCTAAAGTACCAGCTCACCAAAAATCTTCAAGGACTGGGACAAAACCAAGCCCTAACCTTTTGGAACAAGCCTTCAAAGACTTTTGGGCATAGTCGAAGCAATCTGCAGTGCCCATGCGAGCTGGCTTTTTGAGGACAAACGTCATTCTGAAGGGGCTACAAGTCTAGCTAGCAGCCAGCTCAACTACCACATCTGATTTGAGGTCGTTTGATCTCAAGGGCTCTTTTTTCGCATGACTGCTACAACAGGTGACTGGCTTGCGGTCGTTATACGCTCTGCAACAAAACATTGAACCTGTCAATCATTTGGTCACTGGGCAAGCCTAAAAATAACTTCAAGCAAAGATTCAGGCAAGAACATAGGTTTAAAAAAATGTTTGGCTTATTGCGGCTAGACTGACCACACGGGCGACGGCAAAAGACCTGGTAGACAAACGATTTATGACAACTTGAGATGAGGTACTTGGACTCTGATAATAGCGATGGCAATGGCCTCCAACCTACTTACGATGGCCTCCACCCTAAGTAGCGATGGCCTCCACCCTAAGAGGTCACCCCTACACCACAAGAAGATACAAGAAGCACATCAAGAAAGAGACACTCTGCATCACTCTTCGGGACACTTCGCTCTGCTTTCCTTCGATCGCAAAGACATGCGATGTGAATGTGCTCACACTGTGACAATCCAGCCACGTCCACCGGATTGGAATCGGTCAGGCGTATGCATCCACACCTCTTTCCTCCTTTGATTTCGTCTAGCGCGAAGCGAAACCTACCCGAAGCAAAGACCGGCTCGAAGGCCATCTGTCCAGCGATCATTCTCAAGCCTGTGGTGTTGTTGCGCCAGCGCCATGCATGTGGGCCGTGTATGGGAAGAGTTTTGCGCGTCAATCTAAGAAAGTGATTCAACCAAAAGAAAACCAATATCGGGTGGGCTGTCATGTTAGCTTCCGAGCAAGTCAGGCTCTTCACAGCTTCAAAAATAGTTGGGAATAGCGAGCGGCGAGCATTTTCTCACATTGTCTCGCAAGGGTTCAGGAGCCCACAGCAAAGTATGTGTTTTGTTGTCTTTCTTGTCCTTGTCCTTGAGCAAATAAACAAAGAAGTGTCCGTCCCCAAGCCGTGGCTTTCACTTACTGGTTTGCTTGCTGGTTCGTTGCTTCGTGTCACATGAATCGACGTTCGCTTGACAAGGCCTTATGGATCGACGGTTCGCACGCAGATGTCTGACCCCATCAAAACGGGTATCAATCAACATGTATCGACATCAACTACAGGGCTTCCATGTTTCCATGTCTTTGCCAGCACTGGGCGTTTTCAAGACTCACATATTCACGTCCTTCCTTTAGCGGAGACTGGAAGACCTGCCGGAGCCGGCGCGGAAGACCTGCCAGGCCTACCTCTCTAGCCCGA